TCCTACTATGTCATGGTTTTCCAGATAAAATTCTAACTGCCATACAGTCATATATGAAGGGTTCCAATGCAAAGTTATATGTGGTAGCCATATCAGTGACCCATTTATGGTTCAGACTGGAGTTAAACAAGGGTGTGATCTGTCCCCACTGCTTTTTAACTTAATAATTGATTGGCTGGTAACATAAACTATGGACAAAGCGAGAGGCATCAGATGGACACTAACAACTAGCATAAAAGACCTGGATTTTGCAGATGTCATAACTCAGCTAGCCAACAGTCAAAAAATATACAAGAAAAACTAAAACAAACCATTTTGAAAATGGAGTTAGGCTCAAACTAAACACTAACAAAGCCAAAGTTATGAAGCTAAATCAATCTAGTCCAGAGCCTATTAAAATAAAAACTAAAGACAAGTAAATGAAGTAAAAGGTTTAACATATTTAGGCAGCACTGCCTATTACGAAGGAGACTGTACCTCTGAAATTAAAACACGCATCTCTAAAGCCAAACAAGCATTCGCAACCATGCAAAAAACATGGCGATCGAAGAAAATCTCGTCCTAGAACAAATGCAGCCTTTTTAAAAGTAATGCCACTGCCAGGAAAATTGCATGTAAAAGTGAACGATAAAAGTGGAAGGAGCTTTTTCTGATGGCCCCATATGTCTTGGGCACAAAAAGGAAAAGATGATGAAGTTACATATCTGAGGCAAAAAAAAAAAAAAAAATATAAAAAAAAATATAAAAAAAAAAAAAAATATATATATATATATATATATATATATATATATATATATATATATATATATATATATTGTTACGACCCGAGCTACCTAGACCTTTCGATCTAGGAGGGGAGGTAGACAAGAACACACGTTAAAACTAATGAACACCTTTAATACTTGCTCAAGTTTAATTCTTACATCAAAGATACAACATGTAAAAGTAACCGCCACCAAAATACAACACAAAAATCCTACCACCTAGTCTAATCTAAAATATATACAACTACAGGTCCTAACTGGTGAGCTGCTATGCCCCTGACTGTCTGGTCTCACCACTAGCCCTCCTCATATTCTTCCGTCGTCCCCGACTAGTGTGGGAACCTTGTTAATAGAGCCTGACCCCCAGGTCAGGTCAGGTCAGGACATGACCGTCCCCTCGGTTCCGTCCGTCCAGGAAAGCTTTCCCAGCCATAAATCACGGTCTGTTGGTCGTTACCAGCCGAGTCCCCAAGACACCAGGTATGCGCCGCCCACAGCGTAGAATCCAATCCGCGGGGTGGCCGAAACAACCCAAAGATTCCCACGGCCAGCACTGGTCAGCCTCTGACCACCGCCAGGTTGATGGATGAGCGTGAGATCGCTACCCCATCATACGGGTCAGCCCAAGACAAACCCCAGGTGGTCGTAACACCTCCTCCCTTCGAGAAATTAATTCCCCGCATGGGGAATTAATTGAACATCACCTAGACCACCACCCCCGTCTCACAATACCTCAAAAGTAGGGTTACAAAATGTCAAGATCATACTCTAGACTAAATTAATTAAACCATCATCGTAATCAACAGGGGCGAAAAAAATTGGTGATTGCTAAACAGTGACATCAAATATCGACTAAGGTTTTACAACAAGAAAACATGGCATCCAACACGTTTAAAAAATAAATTTTAGAAAAAGACAAAAATAGAATAAAATACTATTATCCTTCACATAATTGTACTGAACAGTTATCCCCGAGATAACATGTCTACAACTAGGTTATCTTTCCCTTGAATGTCTTTAATTTCCTGCGACCAGGAGTGTCAATCACATAATTCCCTTTTGAATGTATCGTATGTGACCTGAATGATTTGGCCCTGGGTATTTGTTTCTGGGTTAGGTTAACCCTTGCCCGCTCCCAGATTGCGCACAGTTTCTCTTTGAATTTTGAAACACCAAAGTTCTGTGGCACCGCATCACTGGAACTAGTCCATTTTCCCTTCAATAACTTTAAAGGGCTGCGAATTCGATCACGAGGGAGAGAGAGATTAGTGACTCTATCGAAGAAGGTTGAACTTAAATTCCCTGCCTCATCCTCGCTCGTCACTTCCAGCGGTGACTCTATTTTCTTAGCTCCCGCCAGAATTAACACACATGAAGGGTACTGGTTGTTTGTGTTACCGCTGGTGGACTGGGTGAGCGGGTGTTCACCATAAAAACAATCTGGAAACACCTTGTGTCCCGCAAGATCATTCCCCAGGAGTAATCGGATTCCTGGCAGGGGTAAGTGCGGCCTCACTCCAACAACGACATCACCTGTTACTAGACCCGAGTCTAGCCGTATGGCGTGGAGAGGGGCACTCACTTGGTTTGACTCGATGCCCTGTAAGCTAGCGTTGTCACCAGTAAACGAATTACCAGGTAGATGTAAGATTCCCTCCCGTAGCAAGGTCAAGGAGGAACCGGTGTCGCTTAGAATTTTTATGGGTCGTGGAGGCGATGCATCTCCGGGTATCGACACATATCCGTCGAAGATGAATGGCTGGAACTTCCGCAATGTTTCGGCTGATATTGCGTCACGGCTGGCGATACCATCACCGACCACACCAACGTGAGCATTTATAGCTTTGTGGATGGGCTTAGGGGCAGGCTCGACGCTTGTCATTTCTTGAGTGTATTCTGGGATTGGTATGCAAACCTCAGAATTGTGCAGATCTACCGGCTGGCTAATTTGTTCAATACAGCCATAACCTCGGGTGGTATCTAGATCCCGATCCAGGTGACCCCTCGATTGTTGGAGACAAGATGTCGGTTCGGGTACACCCTATTATCCTTCACGCGTTTACTGCATTGTCTAGCCAAATGCCATTTTGCTTGGCAGTAGTAGCAGATAACATCAA